TAAGTTTTTCATATTTTTAAATGTTAAAAATACTAAAATTAAGTTTACCACTAAAAAGTTTTAAAACACTGAATTAAATTTTTGTGGTTCTTTAAGAATTATATTCTTCATTCCGCTTTATATGATACTATCACTGCTTTTTAGAGACTCAAAACATATTATTGTATTTACGATAACTTCTTTTATATCTTTTGATGTATTTTAAATTATAAAAGATTGTAACTTCTAGTATACTTTTATCTATTTTCTAATTAGGTAACATTTCATTTCATAAGAATAAATAGTGGTATTATTTTTCTTTTTAAAAAATAGGAAATGATATTTAAGAAGTTTAAAATATTTGGACCCAACAATAATACGTGTTTTCAATTGATAGCGTGTTGATTGAGGGACCGCAAGACCTACTTATGAGTTTGAAATTCTCATATTCCACATGTATTGAAAAACATTAAAACCATTTTAACACTATAAAATGTCTTTAAAACGTCTAAGAAAATGGAGAGATCGATGATGAAGTCGCATTGAAATGGGATGGATGAAATCAAAGTTCGTATCCGATATCCTATAAAATAAGAATGTGTCATCAAGATTTAAAAATAAGTTTTATAGAGTGATTTTCATACTTGCTATATTATAGGAGGTAGAGTGTTGGTCAGTCAAGAATTTACACGTTCAAAAGATATATGTCTATGAAGAGGATACTTAGATTAATGCGTGAGCATACTAGGAGAGATAATAATAGGATTGAAAATATGTGGGGCATGGAAAGAGAGAGGTATATCAGTGGTGAACAAAATGGGGAATGCGAGACTGAAATGGTTCGGACATGTAAATAGAAGGAGCACAGATGCACTGATAGGTCTCAGGAGAGACAGAGATATTTCAAGAAAGGATTGAGAAGAGACGATTAGACATGACATGACACGACACATCTTAACTACAGAGGACATGAACCTAAATAAAAGAGTATAGAAGAATTAAAGTAGAAGAATATTAATTAATAGGTGGTACTTGGTAGAGTGATTTCGAAATCATTTGAACCCCACAATAATACGTGTTTATTAATTGAGAGCGTGTTTAATGGTTATGTATGGCCCACGACACCTAATTAGGAGACATTAAACTGTTTTAATTGATTAAAATTATTGGAGGATATTCGTTTGGTTTGGGAAATTTTAGGCAATTTGACATTAATAAAACTTAATAGGAACAAGTTAGCAACCACATATAATAATTTCCATATTTAAAAGTATATATAGCATGTGAAGGTCACTGATTCGAAATTTATTTATATGTAGGAAGGATAGTATGATTCTGTCTGTTTCATTTTACTTGACTCGTGTTGATTTGACATCATCTTTTTAGAAAATATTTATCAAGAGACTATTTTACTAAATTATTCTATTAATTGTGTTTGGAAATCGAAATTTGACTACTATGGGAAGAAAAAATAGTAATACTTTATGTAATTATTTAATGACAAGGATTGATATATTAGAAGAAAAGATAATAAATTTTCTCTTAATTTGTTATAATGAATAAGTAAAAATGATATTTTTAGTATAAGGATCAAATAAAATTAAACGGAAGGAGTACCTTGGGTCTCTTAATTATTGATGAAATCTAATTTTAGTCTTTGTGATATACGATTCATCATATTTTCACCTTCTAGGCTTCGACTTATTAAAATGAGTATTTTTTATCTCTTTATATGGAAAAAATATTATAACTTTTTTAAAAGTATATTATCCTCAAATATAAAATAACAATACAATTCTAACATAATACTTGGGTAATTAAACACTTGAACAATATATTAATAGATCTCAAAAATTATGAATATTCACAGCAGATGAATCGAAGATACACATCTCAAATAATTGAAAATTAGTCATGTTTAGTTCAATATTTTAAAAAGTAAAATAATTCAATAACAAAGGGACTGAAAATGCTAACCACATGTCATCTAATTATATCTCATCATCTTTCTTTTTCTCTACCAAATTTATTTTTAAAAATGGGCTATTTTTCATACCTTATGGTAAAATAATAATAATAATAATAATATGGAATATAATCTTTACATGAACTAATAATAATGTCCCATGTGGGTGCACACATGTACATGTTTCATGGTGAGTTTTTTTTTTTTTTTAATAATAATAAAGAAGGTTCATTGTTTCTTCATTATGTTTTTTGGTATCTGCAATTAGGTGGCATTTGTTTAAAAAAATTGTGGAATAATACGATCGGAAATTCGAATTAGAATATTATAATTCAACACTTCATAACACAATGTCATGAAGTTCGAATTCCACACTTAAACTCTAGCTATGTATTCTGAATTTCAATTTTCGACAATAGATTAAGTCTTTTCTAAATATGTTTTATTTCACTTTGCGACCCAAACATTTGTTTTGATTCTTGCTACCTAGCTAGTGTGATACTAACATTGTATTCAAAGAATTATAAGAGACTAAAATTGTAATAAACCTCTAAACAAGGTTGATGAATATTGAAAAAAATCATGTTATAATGATTATTGATTGACTTTGATGAGACTAAATTAGACTCCCTCTGTTTCATATTAGTTAATCATCTTATTAAAAATAATTGTCTCATATTAATTGTTCACCTTACTAAATCATATATTTATATAAATGAGAACATAGGCCCGCCTACATGCATAGCGCCACCACAAGTAAGAATTTCCTTTTAAATTTATTTATTTTCAAAAATACCCTTCCTCTTTCATGAAAGATATGATTTTTATGAAAAGTTGTGACATTTATGAACAGTTGCGATTTTTATGAAGAGTTGCAACTTTTATGAAAAATTGTGACTTTTATGAAAGGTTGTGACTTTTTTGAAGGGTTGTAACTTTTCCAAAAAGTTATGACATTTCCGATAAGTCACAATAAACATTTGCTCACACTACCCTTTTTGTCTATAAATAGATAGATTTCCTCTCATTTTAAAACAACGAAAATTCTAAACATCTTCTTGTTCTTTTGCACAATTAAATATTCATGTAATTTGCTCTTGTTGAGTGGTTCACTGACGCCATTGTTTTTGTATCAATACGCTTGTGAATAGAATCGTTCTATCCTGAGAGGATCTATTTCTTTAAACCTCGGATACTAGAGGGGAATAATTTCCTTAAGGGGACATTGTGCATTCAGTGGGCTCAATTTTTTCCTTTATGTTTCATTCTATTGTTATAGATCTTGGTATATTTTTTACAGCCAATAATTTATTCTTATGATATTAATTGTTGTTTTTGAGTACATATTTTAAACTTTGTTGTTTATGTTTCTGTAAAGTTATTGTTATAAGTATTTGTTAGTACAGATAAATATTATTTATTTATTAGAAAATTTAATATCTCATGTCGATGTTCATCCAATTTCCCAAAAATATCAAATAGTAACACTTCTTGGAGGCAAAAGGATAAATTATAAAATCAAATTAAAGATGATTGATTGAAGGATAAATGATAAGATGTTATAATTATCATTTTCCTTTATATTATTAATGTTCGTTACTACGTAATCTTGTATGTAAGACAACATAGTGTTTTAGTTTTAATGACTGATAGATTTAAAGTATTATTTTATAAATTTTGTGATATCAAATTTCTTCGCGAGGGTAATTTTACTAGTTAAAAAAATAATACTTAATTTTTTTTTCTATATTATCCTTGCAATTAATTCTTTTTTAAGTGTTAACATTTGTTTATAAAATTCCCAAAATATTTTTTGTGGGGTAAATTAGTAAAATTACCTTTTTATTTATAATTTCTTAATGTGTGTATAGAAAAAAAAAATGATCTACTAATATGGAACAAAAGAAGTGATGACATGAGAACAATAATTGTATATACTTACAATTTCGTGTGTGTAATTGATTGATAATTGACTTTATTGGGATTAATTATGGCATAAAAACAATAATTGTATTCTTGTTATTTTGTCCATGTAATAGGTTGTTGTCTTGTTTTTTTTTATTTGCGGGAAGTCCCATATTGGGGTAAAATGCTCTCTAACAAAAGCAACTTAGCTTCATAATTAAGGGAACTCGAACCCAAGACTTCTTGGTTAAGGATGAAGGAGTACTTACCACTCCACCACACCCATTGTTGTTGTTAAGAGTATTTGTGGTTCGGTTTGGATCGGTTATTGGTTAAAACCAAACTAATTAGTCGATTTTTTAAATTTCTAAAACCTAACCAAACCAAACGAAAAAAATAACCGTTGATTTGGTTATTGACAGTTTGGTTCGGTTTGGTTCTGTTTTTTTGGTTTTTTCGATTTGAAAGTAATAAATTTATGAGGACATACGTATTTGATAGACACAAACACCTTGTACATAAACAATCCACAGAAAAACTATTATTGGTTCAATTAAGCAATACTAGAGTTATCATTACACGAACAAAGTGATTCAATTAAGAGAAAATGTAACTATCTTATGAAAGGTATGGTAGGTAAAGACTAAAGTATTAAATTTTGATAGACTTGGACTTAAGATTGTAATAGTTGATGAGTTAAAATTTAAGTGTTGGGCTTGAGAAAATAGTAAAGTTAAAGACTTAAGTTACTTAAAACTTAACAAAATATTTATATTTTATTTATGAATAATATATAAATAATTATAAAATTTATATATCTAATTTTTTGGTTCGGTTTGATTATTTTTGCAGTTGTTCTGCAGTAAAACCAAAACTAAACCAAATAGTATCGGTTTTCAAAATTTAAAACCAAACCTAACCAAATCAAACCAAATATCAATTTTTTTAATCGATTTGATTCGCATTGCAGTTCAATTTAGTTTTTTAACCATAACCATGAACAACCCTAATTGTTGTCTTGTTGATGACTTTAATGAGATTAATTATGGCATGAAAATAATAATTGTAAATGTTGGCCAAGTAGCATGTTTTCATAGGAAACTCACGACCTTGATTCTGATACCATCATGTCAAAAATTATATATTTAACTAATAGCAACGATACAATTTTATTTCATAACAAAACATTTCAAACAAGCGACAATTTCAATCATGACTTTGGCATGTGCCATCCTTGGCTCATTACAGGAATTTACTATAGTTACCCAATAATGAAATTGAGCTTCAAACTCCCTCACTAGTTCATCCACTTGTATAGATAATTAACATACATATACTCATATCTCCCTATGTCCAAAGAAGCCATCATTACAACAAAAAATCAGTGGCAAGTTACATCTTAAATGGGTGCATTGGGTGGGAAATATTTTTTGGACCTTGACTACAATTTCTATATCAACTTCATAATTAATCTTGATTCTTGATCATCTTCATTCAAAAATTGGTATTATTACTGCATTATTAGCTTTGTGGAAACCCCATTTGTTAGAGAAAACATGGGAAAATCCCTTAGCATGAACCTCCTTTTTGTCCATCCTAAATTCATCTATTCCTCTAGAATTGATTCTTTCTTGTCATCCCACATTTTCAACCTACTCTGAGCTGATTCCACCTGCAATCGAAGACGAATGTAGAATTTATAATCGATAGACTCAGAATGAGTGTAATCTACCCACACACACACACACACACACACGGGTTTTTGGTTTTTTTGGCACGAATTCCCTTATGGATTAAGCCGAAAACAACGAGTTTAGTTGAACCATTGAACCTGCTCTAGATCCGTCTCAATTCATGTTTCGTTCAAGGAAAGGATGCTCACGCGATATTTTTGTATTCTAAGAGCCAGTTCATCTGGATTCGTTGTCTTATATTTGATAATATAACTAGTAAAAAGCATAGATCCTTTTCTAGATTTGTCTGGCATATTAAGGATATCCTCCCTATGACTAACTTACATTTGAACTTCTGTATTTTTCTTTTTCAAACTGCTTTGATATGCGTTAATTGAGTTGAGGGACTTTCGGAAACAGTCTCCCTACCTCCATGAAGTAGGGGTCAGCGTATACTCTACCCTCCTTGGACTCAACCTATGAGATTACACTGGGTATGTTGTTGTTGACTAACTTATATTTGGACTTGATTTCGTAGTTATGCCAACCTTTTCCAAGAAATGATCTTAAAGTAGATAGGTAACGAGATGACTTTATAATAAACATAAGGAGTTTTGTAACCAAATAGTGTTATGGAAAAATGTTGTCTACTTCTAACAGGATGATTACAAGCACTAGAAAAATTAAAGAGTTTTACCTCTTTATTCCAATCAGTTCGAGCGGTGATCCATATTAAAATGATTGTTTGCATCACTGTACCTCCCAGCATTCCTGACCATATTCCCTGTATGCACCAGAGTAATGTTGTTATCTTTTCTATAATGTTACGACTGGGACTAGAAATTTGGTTGTGGAGAATGGTTAAATTACCTTAGCGCCAAGTTTGAAGTAAAAGCCGAGAAGAACACCCAATGGAACTCCGACAATGTAATAGCAGCCTATATTGACATAGGCCACGAAGGCTTGCCATCCACAGCCAACGGCCACACCTTTTAAGATTTATGTACATGAATTTCGTCAGATATGTTAACAAAGCAAGGAGTTGATTTCTCAGATAGTCACTCAAGTAATAGTGACTTTCTAAGATAATAACTATTAGTTGAGTGACCATCGGAGTGTGTTGTTCGTATTCAGACCTAAATACAGAGAAGCACTTAGATAGTTGAATTTGTGTAGTAGTACCACAATTGCCAATTTCATCAATTCCCTAATTAAAAATGTTAACTCTTTTTCTTTAACGAAATCTTTTTCCTCTGTTTGTGCTTCGTTTTTCATTTGTCTTCAATTTGTGTATTTTTGAAGGGTCATTCGTTATTTGATTTATTCAAAGAATGATCAGTTGACTGTGTTGCCTTTAGCGCATGGTCAGAAATCGTCCACTTGACAGTGTTCGACAATCGAGTAATACTATATTAGTATATGGACATATGTTGAGGAACTCGAGTGCCAAAGATCTAAATCTTGCACTGAAACCATAACTCTTCCAATTTGAGGTCATATTGATTCTGTTATGATATGTTCTACACTTATTCCACTACATGTGCAAGAAATTTATCACCAACAGTCCGGGTAACTATTCCATCTCTAGTTCTCTACTTAAAACTCGATATATATGGATCCTAAATCTGATTCAAATTCAATATAGTACCTATGGTCCATAAGAAAAATTGATCTGTTCTCAGTGATCAAACTAGAAAGGAGATTCAAAGAATTGTTTGTGGCAGAAGCAAATCATAAAGTGTATTGTCCACAGTATACTGTACATTTAAAGGGCACAAATCAGAATTCGAACACACCGCGTTTTACTGGGAAGGATTGAACCATGGGAACGAATCACATTTATGTATTATGCCGTTTCAAATAAGGTTTCAAATTGTAAAGAGGATGCTTGATAAACCTCTTACCTGACAAGACGGGCTGAATTCCGTTGAGGATGAGGGAAAGCGCAAGCAATGGACAAAGATCCGAGACAGCTTCAGCCACGACTTCACCTTCAGTGAAGGCATAACTGATGAGATTACGCAATGCAAGAACGATGACTGCAGCAATCATTGAGAGAATGAAAGACCACGATGTAACCACGACAACAGAAAAAGCTGCTGATTTGGGATGCCTTGCTCCTAGTTCATTGCTCACTCTCACACTGTTCATCAGCATGTCACATTTAAGAAAGTCAGAAAAGGATATTCCCCATTTCAATCATAATTATTCTTATAAATACATCTCAAGTTCAGCAATTTGCATGACCATTTCCATATAAACTCAAATAACTTAGTTATTGCATATAAACTTGATGAATGTAAATTTCCAACATGCGTAAAAAAGCTTGGAAGATATCGAGAATAAATAATACACCAACTTTCAGCATCATTACACTTTCATTATATAGTACAAACAAAGTATCACCAGAATTACCAATAAGCAGCAGTCAACATTAATGAAAAGGCATAATACATAGATAGACGCCTCATGGCCTCAACTGGCAACTAAACACTTCATCTCTGAGGATGCTCATCTAGACACCTCAACCCGTCTTCATTGTGTCAATTGAACACTCCAACTTACAAAATGATCATCTAGACACGTCAAGGTAGGGTGCCGACAAGACAAAGTGGGGACAAGCTGAGGTGTCTAGATGTGCATTCTCAAAGTTGGAATGCTCAGTTGTCAATTGAGACCAAGTTGTGGTATCTATCTATGTATTCCGATTCATTTGCAGAAACCAAAAAATAGATTATCTAGTTCAAACGCCAATCTCAAGAAAAGTAACAAAAAATGAGAAAAAGGTTCGTTAAAACGACAACTGACCTTGCTGCTGCATTGAATCCAACTGATATCATGAAGACCCAACCAGAAATTGACATGCTTGAGTTATTCACCACCAAACACAAGGAAAGGCAAAATGGTTAGCAATTGAAAATTTGTAACATAGCTTAGATTCTACAGTTAACAAATAATCAGACTTATATCTAAATAATGAAAGAACCGTCCTTTAAGCAGTACTTTTGCTATACTTCACTGATGTTCATAAGTAGGTTAACTTGACTTTTTGACTAAAAGAGAAGTTAACTTGACTTTCGTAACGGTAAGGATGTATATGAACCACTTTTGTAACAAGGTGTTAACGGTAAGGATGTATATGAACCACTTTTGTAATAAGGTGTATATCAGGCCCTTTTCACTAATATGTATCAAAACTTTTTTGAATCATTTCTTCAAATCACACTAACCACGTGATAACATTATTACATCATCAATATATATAACTTAAATCCTTTTTCAAATATGAACAGTATTGCAATCAAATAAAATGATAAGTATTTATACTCTAGTGGTACAAATTGAGTACACAAATCTAGATAAGTACTAAATAAGCTGAACTGTCAGACCTGAAATTAGGCCTGTTTTTCATATTGTATCTCTATTGCTATACCATTCTTTTTCCAAAAGGATTAAATCATTAGAAAAATTCTGTCTTCACAGAACATGACAAGTTATACATGAAGCAGAAGTTGTTTTTCAAAAATTTAAGTGTTTTTTACTTTTTAATGACAAGATTATCTAAGTTAAATTCATATTTATCAAATAAGTTTAATAGTAATTCTGGAAAATCTTAATAACACAGTTGGTTAGTTAGTCATCTGAAATTTCACTTTATTAGTGAAGTTTTGAATACCCACCTTGTAATCCACCCCATCTATTTTCATCTTATCCCGTGTACCAAACAACTCTGAATGTGTTAGATGAATTGGATTAGACAGAATAACTAAAAGCATGACTCTAACTTTTGTGTGGGCTCAAACTCAAAGCAGTAGGTCTAAAGCTTTTTCTTCATGCAATCATTTAAAAAGTTTTCTCCACTATTGTTTGGTTAAAGAAAAAATGGATCTAAAAGTCTATTTTCACAATTTGCAATCAGACCAAACGTAGTTCAGGTAGATATTTTACACTACTATTTAACATGTTATGACAATTGACAAGTTACTTTATCATTTGTTTTGGATTACCAAATTAAACAAGATTACATATAATTACTTTTCAAATGATTTAATTATGTAAATATTTTCTACGTCAAATATAGAAGAAAAAAACGCCACGTTAAGAAGGAAAAGACGAAAAAGAGGATAAGCGCAATCAAAAAGATACTTATCGTGAAACTTGATAAAATTAACATGCATTTTTAACTTGTGTTTGGACATGCGATATGAAGTCATCATCTCAAATCAGCCTTTGGATATGTGATTTCATATTACAATTTAGAATTTCAATTTTTTTTAAATGTAAAACTTGACTCATAAATTAATATTTTATAAAAAAAGACTCATCATTTTAAATTTTATATAAAAAGACTCATGCTCAGCTCTACACCATATGAAAAGATTTGACAACTCAATCTTTATAAGATTATATATATTTAAAAATTTGTAAATACGAATATTTATTTATAAAAGGGACACTGAGATATGTTATTTATCAATGTAGCACCGTAGAATATTTTGATATCTTGTTTATTAACTATGATTTACTCATTTGGTAAAATTGTATAAAAATTGGAGTAAAAGATCATGAACGTAAATATTCAAGAGTTTAAGTTTCTCCAATTGGACTGTATAAGAATTGGATTTTACAATCTTACTAAATATATATTTTAAAAAATACTTTTAAAAATAAACATAGGGAAAAAATAGTAAAACAAGCAAATCTACTCAAATTTAATGGGAAGGGATACAATTTTAATGGGAATGGAATCTGAGAAAGAGTAAAAAGACCATTAAATTTACTTGTTTTACCTTCTTTCTTCTTTTTGATTAATTTATACTTTATATTAAAAGAATTTTTTTACATATTTAGTAACTCTTTAATTTCATCATTCTACGTGATTTATTTAAAATTATAAAATTCAAAAAATGTTTTGGTACAATATCTCTGTCTCTTACAACTCTATTTCTTATCAACCTAATAGTTTGTTTGGTCAAGCTTTTGCAACAATTAAAGTGTTTGTTTGTTTTTTCAAAAAATGCTTATTTTTAAAAAGTAAGGCATTTAGCCAAAATTTTGGAAGAAAATAAACGAATAGCAGAAGTTGTTAATTGACAAGCTAAAAAAGTTATCTTTTTGAAAAGCATGTACTACACTTAGAACACTTTTTTAAAATTCAATTAAACACTAATTGGCGCTCAAAAATGTTTTCTAAATATATTGGTCAAACACAAATCGTTTCTCGCAAAAATAATTGCTATCCAAAATAATTGGCAGGGAGTTTTGTTCTTACCAAATAGAAAGAGCATCCAAAGCCACTTCAGGATTTTCAAGCAAGCCAGCAAGCAACACCACAATCTGAAAGTACCAAGTCTCCAAGCACAGCATCACTGCCGAGGCCGCCGATAGCTTGAAGAACTCCGGCAAGCCGGTAAACGCCATCCAACTGAACCCTTTCCATGTCTGTTTACACTTGTCACTCTTCACAATGTACACAAATTGGCCTATAACAATTATCCACCATGACAAACTCAACACTAATGACGCCCCAAGTAATCCGAGCCCGATCTTAAAAATCACCACCCAGCTCAACCCCAAATGCAACACTAACGTTGCAGCGGAGATGTAGGCACTCGGGGCTACAATGCTCTGAGCTTGAAGGAATTTCTGAATCGGAAAATTAATGGCGTAGGCAAATATCTGAGGGATTAAACCGTACACAAATAACGCTGCTGCTGCTGCAATTCTCTCAGTTTGGCCTAGAAATATTAGAATCGGCTTGCAGAAAATGTACATTATGGTGAGTAAAATTCCTGTTAGAGTTAACAGAACTGTCGATCTTTGAAGATAAACTCCAAGCATATCGTATTTCTTTGCCCCAAATGCTTGACCACATAGTGTTTCCACTGCACTTCCCATGCCCAACTGCCATTTACAAACATACGAACATAAATTACGAGAAATCTTAGTAACTTAGTTGATTGACTATATGAACTTTCACATAATTGATGAAAGTTTGACTCCCCACCTTACGGAAAATTTTAGCTTCACATAATTGATGAAAGTTTGACACCCCGCCTTATGGGAAATCTTAGTTTATAATTGATGAAAGTTGGACTCCCCACCTTATGGGAAATCTTAGTAGCTCGACTACATGAACTTTCATGATGAAAGTTTGACTCCCCACCTTACGGAAAATCTTACTAGCTCAGTTGATTGACTACCTGAACTTTAACATTATCTCTTCCCCTAATCCCAATTTTCGAGAAAAAACATATTTCACGAAATAGTACAATTTCACCTAAAATTAGAATATAACTCTGATTACTCCAAAATTTGTTCGAACTCAATAACTTTTGCACATATGCTGTATTTTTATTAAGAAATTCATAAACTATATATAAATATGTGATTGTGAATCGAGTATACGAACTCATAAACTTCGAATTGTGAATCCGCCTATATTTCTTCCTATTTTCATCAAAAAAAAATTCAGAATAACTTCAATTTTCTCAGTCAGACAATATATCAAACATGTTATCTGCATTAACGAAAACCATACCATAAGACCATAAGCAAAGACTTGAATCCCAGTATTTCCAAGTGAAGCAGCAGCAAGCTCAAGATTACCCAAGTGACCGGAGAATATCTGAGTAGACATAGACATGATGTAATTAATCATGTAAACCATAACCGCTGGAGCAGCAAGGAAGAAGAGGAACTTCATTTCGATCCATGTCGCTAATCGGAGTTTACTCCAGAGAGGTATTTCAGTGTCCAATAGCACAGTTTCGAGCTCGTTGCTTGATTCGAAATTGTGAGTTTCGGATAATTGTGGTGATAATGATGTTACATTGTTTTGTAGAAATGGCCGGTAAATGTCGTTTTCCGGCGAAGCCATGAATTCCGGTGACTGAGGAAAGAGGATAAAGTTGGGGAAAAAAACTTAGAATGTTGTAATATTAGTGAGTGTGTATATATAGAAGGAAAAAATAAACAAACGTCAGCGCTTATGTGATTCACATTTTTGGAATATAAAAACAGTATGTGTCGTGGTGGAGACAGAATTTTCACGAATAAATTCAAAACATAAAAAAGCAATATTCAATGGAATTTTTTTTTAACAAATTCAACATCTAATTCCTTCGTTCCTAATTAAATGTCGTCTTTACTAAAAATAAATTTTCTTTAATATTCTCTTTATTCATATTTATACGTCCATACTAAAGATATATGTTCTTTAATACTTGTCATTTCAATTTTCATAAAATCAATACATAAATAGCAATATTCTTCCTATTTTATTATTGAGAGTTATTAGGCTTGAAAGTATAAATTTGATCTAATATAGAAAAACTAAATAATTAATTTATGTTCATTCGTCAATTTTATTAATTAAAATAAATTAATTTATATTCATTTATTGAAAAATTAATTTCAACTGAATACTAAATAAAATATGATAAACCTACTTAATTTCTTAAAGAACGTGAAATTGAAAATAATGATATATAAATAGAAATTGGAGTGTTGAATTTTGCTATTCCGATGTAGTCGGAGTTTCCAATTTGGCTACATAAACCAAATTCAAACTTGGTGTCCTTAATTAATTGGTCATTTTCTTTATAATTATCGATAGAATTTTTATAAATTAAAATAGTCTAAAGTCAGTATTTTAATGATTAGTTGTCACAAATTTATATGATAGTGAAGATGTCACATCAGCAGAACAGCAGTCTTTATCTATCAACTATGCAGTTTAAGTCTATATTTTATTGATTACGTCGTCACAAATTTATATGATATAATTTTAAATTTTGAGAATTAAATAATAAATAAATTATTATTTATATGTTATTTAAATTGTTAAGTTTTTATTTGTAGTATTTCTTTTATGTAATTTTCGAAATATAAATTATTTATGAAAAACCTTAAAGATTGTATTTATGTATTATGATCAGAATTTTTTAAAAAAAATCTAAACTCTTGAAATATGAACTTTATTATATAAGTTAAGACGAAAAAAAACAATAGAATTAAAAAATTTGTTTAGGTGAAATGGACTTTAAAATTTGCTAAAATAAATTCAAATTAATCAATCACAAAGTAAATGACAGATATTAAATTAAAAAATCAAGAAAAAAAAATGAGAAAGTGATAGGACAGAGGAGTAAAAATTTATGGCAGGCTAGCATTAATGGTTGTTCCAAGGACAAAGTTATTAAAGTGTGTTTTTCTATTCTTCTTTTAACTACTCCCTTGGTTTCTATTTAATAAAGGGAAAAAAGATAAATATATCCTCAAACTATCGTAAATGATATACAGATACTCTTCGTTATACTTTTGGGATATTGGTGTCTCTGCCGTCCAAAACTAGAGCATATATGTCATCCACTCTAACGGAAGACTAAATAGGGACATGTGGGACAATTTTATCTGTCGATTCGATATTTAATAAATATCGGATGGGTGGATAAGATTATGACACTTGTATGTCTGTTAGTATAAATGGTATATATGCTCTAGTTTTTTGACAGCAAGGACACTAATTTCCCCAAAAATATGACAGAGAGTATATGCATATCATTTACAATAGTTTGGAGATATATCTGTCTTTTTTCCCTTTAATAAATATGTTACTCCCTCTGTCCAACAATAGTTGTTCACTATTGACTTGGCACACCCCTTAAGAAACTATAAATAGAAGGATAATTTTACTATATCACCCTTTGAATATAATAAATACAATGCCTTGAAAAATGTAATAGAGAAATTACTATAATTAATGATAAGGGTAAATTAGGAACTAAGTGTAAAATTATCCATGAATTTCATAAAGTGGACAAGTATTGTTGGACATCTATTTTTAGTATAGTGGACAAGTATTGTTGGACGGAGGGAGTATTATTTTAGAGTTCACATGCATTAAGAAATAAAGCAAGTTTACTATTCCCTCCGTTCCTTTTTATGTGTCATATTTTTAGATTGCACTTGCATTAAGAAATTAAGTAATTTTACCCTTCTACCCTTATTTAATGTTTTCTTAATTCAACTTTTCAATAGATGATGAATATGCTAGATTTCAAAAATTAAAATACATTTGGATGACTATTTAAATTTTTTAGTTTATTTTCAAAATCAGATTTTATAAAATAGTGAATGGAGAGATTAATTAATCAATGTATGAAATACTCCAATGTATATTAATTACTTATTAGTTTTTCTAGGTTGGTCAAAGTATATATTTTCAAGACTAATTAACTACTCTATTAAGGGTATAATAGGAAGAATATGGTGATTTATGCATTGATTTTATGAAATGACAAATATTATGGTCCAATATTTTATAGAAAGGGATGACATATAAAAAGAAACTGAGGGAGTATTTCATCCTTATTTAATACTTCTTCTGTCCCTAATCACTAGTCCACTTTTGAATTGACACACCTATTAAGAAAACAATGATTGACATAGTCAGTTTATCGTTTTACCCCTATTAATTATGAAGTGGATTGGTTAAAAATTTACGATTTTCAAGAAGTTCTACATTTTCTAAAATTAATTAATTGAGAGTATAATAGGTAGAAAAATTGTCCTTTCTGGATTTGTCAAAATGGACAAGTAAAAAAGAAAAATTCGACGAGTAATTATGGACAAATGGAGTATTTTTTTGAAGTTAAGTTGTCAATCAATGAACATGAATTAATTTATTTTGATTAATTAATTTGACTAATAGACATAAATTATTTACTTAGTTTTTCTATGTTATAGTCAAATGTATATTTTCAAGGCTAATAACTCATAAGGATAAAATAGGAAGAATAGTGTCATTTATGCATTGATTTTGTGACAAATAAAAATGAATATCTATTTTAGGAAAAAAAATAACAAATAAAAGTGAATGAAGAATATATATTACTTTACTCTTATTTAGAAATGAGACTTGTAAGGACTAACACTGCATTATTACTCTTGTACAACATGCATAGAATTTTGTACATTAACTTTTGACTGCATTAAATTAGTTGTACAACGTGCAAAAAGAATTGTACATTAACTTTTATAAATGACAATTACAAGGACTAACATTGCAATTATTATTATTACTCATTACTTACAAGGACTAACATTGCAATTATTATTATTACTCATTACTTACAAGGACTAACATTGCAATTATTATTATTACTCATTACTTACAAGGACTAACATTGCAATTATTATTATTACTCATTACTTACAAGGACTAACATTGCAATTATTATTATTACTCATTACTTACAAGGACTAACATTGCAATTATTATTATTACTCATTACTTACAAGGACTAACATTGCAATTATTATTATTACTCATTACTTACAAGGACTAACATTGCAATTATTATTATTACTCATTACTTACAAGGACTAACATTGCAATTATTATTATTACTCATTACTTACAAGGACTAACATTGCAATTATTATTATTACTCATTACTTACAAGGACTAACATTGCAATTATTATTATTACTCATTACTTACAAGGACTAACATTGCAATTATTATTATTACTCATTACTTACAAGGACTAACATTGCAATTATTATTATTACTCATTACTTACAAGGACTAACATTGCAATTATTATTATTACTCATTACTTACAAGTTAAAATTCAAGATACCATGTGCAAATTTTCGGTCAAACTTAAACTATTTGATTCTCGAAAAATAAAAAGTGTCACATCAAATGGAACAGACGGAGGATAACTCTCAATTAAATTTATTTCAGTTTTTATTTTCCATTTTTAACATAATTTTTCAAGTTGGATTTCTAGGAATTGTATTGTAGACCCATTTAGATTTTACCCTTTTGTTTTAAATTCAAAACAACCCTAAAAAACAAATGGTGATTACAGACAACAAAATTTCAATAATAAAGAAATTTGAACGATAAATTCTTCACTATCAGATGACAAAATTTGAAAACCATTAAAAAGAAAAAATGTATAACCATACAGAGATTT